TCTTTTTTTAAAAAAAAAAAAAAAAAAAAAGTGAGGACAGAAGCCAAATTATATGGAATTAAAGGCGAAATAAATAAAGAGTTGAAACTCAGGCTTTGGCATCAGACAGTCTCTGTTCAAATCCCGGCACCATCATCTAAGTGACAAAGGACTATTTTCTTGTTTCTTAAGTTCTTCGTCTGCTGGGACTTTTGTGAGCATCAAACGAGACTGGGTGTAGAGGAAATGACAGATATTAACTAACGTGTGGTTGAATTAAGGGTCCACTGGCGGTGCCTGTTTGAGATACAGGCACTTACTCTGCAAGCTGCAAATCTTTCTGCGTCTTCCTGTCATGGTTATCCACACTGTCTCAAGCTGGCTCTCACAGCTGCCGATCAGAGCACTGTCACCCTCCCTATGCATGAAGGCTCCCCTTCCTAGGTCCTCTTGAGCAATTTTTTTCCTCCTGAGAAAAGGCAACCATAAGAACTTAGCTTAAAATGGGGACTTTGTGTTTTTCACGACAGGTGCCACAACCACGTGCCTTTGGAGTTCTACCTCATCTGCTTGTGCCAACATCAGGGACCCAAACTCTGTACCCAATTAGGGCAACCCCGCTCTTGGCATCCCCCCACTCCCTGTCCCATAACCCAGCCGTGTTAAGAGGATGGTAGGCTGTTTTTCCCATTGAAACCACAGACAGGCTCCCTGGGGATCCCTGCTGACACCCCATATGTTCCCAGGAAACACTGGCCTTCATATATAAAATAAAAGTGTACATAAGATGTTAAGAATCTGTAACAAGCCTTCTGATTTATCCCCTTCATGCCTCAGTTTATTTGTATGAAAGATAACGTTGTCAGCCACCTTCCTCAAAAGGATATTCTGAGGTTTCACATTGGAGACTTGACATTTATTAACCAGGGTCATATGAGAGCCCTGATTTAATCTCCAGAAAAATGCTTTGAGTGTTTCAGACATAAGGACCATATAAGCATGAAGAATTTTGCCCATAGCTCTTGAAGGAGGCGGTGGCCAGTCAACAGGGGCGTGGGCCAATCCTTGGTGTGTTCTGTTTACAGTTGTATCCAGACAAGTTGAAGTGGAGAAACAGAGGAGATCAGTATATAATACTCTGGTTTATTAACCATTAACTATTTGCATATTGAACAAAGATGTTCTAAAAATATTTACCGTATAATAGACTAAACTTTTAGTCAATAGGTCGCAATAGGGCAACAGCCTCTCAATAGGATAATACCACTTTTGGGGGAGACAACAGTGAAAATTTTACAGCCTTCTATGTGCCAGTCATTACACTATGCCCTTTCATATAAATATCTCCTTTATTTCGCTTAAAAATTCTTCTGGTAGGTATTAATATCTCTGGCTCAGAAAGGTTAAGCAATTTGTTGAAGGCCACAAGCTCGTAAGAAACTAAATCAGGGTTTCCAACCTACAACCCAACCTGTTTGTATTAAAAAAAAAATAAAAAAAATACATGCTTTTCTCACTGTATTATAAAAAACTAAAAAACTATAAAATGTCCTGCCATAAAATGCCCTTTAGATTGTTTTTCTGGAGGTGGTGATGGATCTGTAACATCACACCCTCACCTTGTGACTGGGGCTGGAGCTGCCTTCCCTGCCAAGAACAGGACAAAAGCCAATCTCTAGTCCCGGTTTAACCTTGATCGCTATCTTGGTGGGCTTTGCTGACCGATTGAATCTGCTATAGGTAGAGGTCATGATCATCTGGTGTCACAACCTGGACGTGCTAAGAGGTGGGAGATTGTGCTGGCCATGACAGACAGGGCTGGGGGTTTTCTGATGATGCCGATATTCCATGGTACCCTGAACTTATCACAAGAGATGGTGATTTCCTTCTTCAGGGCAATCCGGCCTCGCATTGCGGCCTCAGGGAGTTTATTTCTCTCTCTTTAATAGCAAAGGGGACAAACTCTAATAAGCTCCTACTATGTACCACCCCACTAACTGCTTAAAAGTGTAACCCAGATGCTGGACTCTCTCTCCTGATGGAAGAGTGTGTGTGTGTGTGGTGGAGAGCTGGGAAGTTACAGTGGTCTGTGCCATCAACCCTACTGGTAGCCAGCGGGACATCTACATGCGGGTTCTCTTTGCAGCCCCGCTGCCCACACTAAGGGGGCCTCAGTCTACCAGTGATGGGAGTAAAAGAAGTGGCATTCTTCACCTTCTGGAGCCCTGAGGTGGGTTAAGTCAGTTCTTTATTTCAAGTCCACCATGATGGAATCCACGTCCTGCAGCATTGCTGGGGAGTGTCAGGCACATGTGCACCATCCCTCAGCTGGAGGCAGGGCCAGGAGGTGAGGGGCACAAGCCTGCTCCCCCACACTGTGAAGAATACCCTCCAGGCCCTTTGTTCCTCTTCCTATTAGCACTTTCCTCTCTTTCCCGGTCCCCTCTCCAGAGTCTGTCTCCCAAGGCCCTCATCTCCCCCGCCTTCTGTAACGGTGGCCTTTTGTCCAGCCATTTCTTGGGTCTTGGAAACCTTCAAGACTTTGGTAGGTCAGAGCTGTCCTTGTTTTCACTATTTCTGTAGACAGGCAGGAGAAAAAATGCTATGGCTCCTCAAATCTGTGTGTGTGTGTGTGTGTATAAGCATCCGTGGCAGTCTGTGCGGTGAGGAACACCTGCCTTTTCCTCTGGTATCTGGATGACCAGCTCTCTAGCGCACACTAGATTTCTTGCATTTGGAGGGTTACTTGATGTTTGCAAATACTTTTGGGCCTCATTGCGCAGAAAGAGTATGTTTTCTCCTGTTTAACATTGGCTCAAATTACAAAGTCCCTGTTCCAGTTACCTATTTCTGTATATATACACATATATATAAATCACCCTAGCCCTGGCTGGGAGGCTCAGTTGGTTGGAGTATCATCCTGTACACCAAAAGGTGCCGGGTTCGATTCTCGATCAGGGCACATACCTAGGTTGCAAGTTCAAGCCCCAGTTGGGGCACATACAAGAGGCAACTGATTTATGTTTCTCAAAAAAAAAAAAAAAATTTGATAAAAAAACCAAAAACATGTCCTTGGGTAAAGGTTAAAAAAAATCACTCCAAAACTTAGTGACTTAAGAAAACCTAACCATATTTATCTTGCTCATAAATCTATAACCTGGGCAAGGCCCAGCAAGGCTGACTGCTGCTCGGTGATGTGTGATCTCTCCACTGGGCCCCTCCTGCCCGGTGGCCTCAGGGTAGGCAAACCTACATGGTGGCTCAGGATTCCCAGGGTGAGTGTTCCACGAGAGGAAGGCAGAAGCAGCAAGGACTTTCTGACCCAGCTGCAGATGTCATGCGATGTCACTCCTGCTGTATCCTATTGGTCACATAAGACTGGCCCTGGTTCAATGTGGCAGTGGGCTACACAAGGGCAACAATGTCCCGAGGCAGGCATCGGTCATTGGGGGACCCCTTTGGAGGCTGCCTATCACAGCTTCCTGTTCAACTTCAAAAGACAAACTGATTTTTTTTTTTTAATGCAAATTAAATTTGCATAGGATGGGACCCCACCTCACCAAAGAGCTTTAGTGGATATTCCACTGGAAAGAAGAGATCAGGACACACATTTTCTATGCTCCTTCCAGCCACTGTTATTTTTATTAAATGGAATATCGAATTAGAGGGAAAGAGCATGGGTACTCCGGCATTTCATGTTACAGAGCGGCAGTCCTATGACCCACCCTGGCTCTCAAGGAATCCACCTGACTCTGTACACTCAGCTTTGCACTTTGCATCAGAGAGGGAGGGCATTCTGGAGGCCGCTTTAAACCGAGAGTAAGGCATCCAAACTACTGTGAAACCGTAACCATCCAATTTCAGCTCCCAACTTCATGCTGAGCAGTAACAAAAGAAAGAAATGGAGACGAAGGATGCTTCGGTTTCCTGATGATGCTTACATGCACAGGATGCACCCGCTTAAGACTTTTAAAAACCAATCGTCCAGATGGTTTTATTGCTCTGCAACAGACTACATCAACCTGACATGGATTCCAAGGTCATCGGGAATTGAAGCTTAACCATATTAAGGAGCAGTTGGATGACGCTGGAATGAGGAAGGCATCACAGTATATTGCATTCTTGTAAACATTAGTACAAGTGCAGAGTAACAGACACTCCCCTCGTTGATGCTAAACAGGCCCCGAGTTCCTCTGCTCTCAGAGGCCGAAGCGTTCAGGGTTCTTTTCAGTCTCACATCCGCTCGGATAGAATATTCCGCCTTGACGAAGAGATTCCAATTTACTACTTTTCTCCTAAGATGCTGTTGGATCTCATCCAGGTTTCTTGTCCTTTGTAGGGTGGACTCAGCCTCCAGGAGGGGGGAGTCCCACAAAATGGCATGATGGGAAAGTGTTCCCCTAATCCAGAAGGTGCAAGGTGAGAGTGAAGCTCCTCACACGGGCTCTGGGCCACATTCTCTCCCCGGCTCCATCTCCTTGGGGAAAGGACTTCATTACTGAAAGGGCTGCACTATCTTCAATAAATAAGGGCCTGTGCCCTATCTTACTCCCGCTCTGCCCTTCGTATCTATGCCTCCCGTCCTGCTCTGGCACCTGTCGGTCCCTAGAGCAGCAGGGGGGACTGCCTGCCAGTCACCTGTGGGCAGACCAGGTCTTCGCAGCTGGCTCTGCATCAGCCTGGCCCTCCCGTGTAATGCATACCCCCAGGCTCTCTCGGAGGACAGGAGAGACAGCACTGTCACAAAGCGAGGGGCCCCGGGGGAGCCCTGGAATGTTGGGAGCCAGGAAGTGGGACTTCCAGACGCTCTGCAGAGGGCCTGCTTGGGGGTCTTAAATGTGACGATGTTCATTGGTATTGAGGACAAAGGTCTGGAATCAGAATCACACTCAGCTGCATGGATCTGAACCTCGCAACTGGGGCCACACCGCAAACTGGAGGACACTCCAGTGGGTTAACTCACACCACATGGACAGGGAGGGAGTTGAGTCCTGGGGGACAGCTGTGGTTGCTGCCCTGCTACTGCCACCAGGTCGGGTCCTCAGCTCTGCCAGAGACTCCCTCAGCCTTCTCCCCACCTTGGGCAGCCTGGATATGCTGTGCAGTGGACCCTCTGTCTTGTGGCTGACACTCCACAGTCTCAGATCCTTGAGTCTTGTCCCACTGTTCCCTGGTGGCTGGGTCAGTGTGACAGACAGCTCCTCTGGGTTGACACAGTGTGAGATGAGGCATCGCAGCAGAGCTTGTCCACTGCAAAAGGAGGAGGGGCCGGCCGTCAGACATTTTCTAGGACATCCAGGGGGACAAGGCCTCGCTTCTTTCCACTGAGGACCCTGATGAAGCCGTCCTGTTCTTCTTCAGACGTCAGGCAGATCTAGATGCCGGGGAAATAAAATACAGGAGTCAACGAGAAAAAGCCAGAACTTGCCGCATGAATTGCTGCTGACTGAGGTTAGTGGGGCATCCAATTGGAAAACAGAGCAGTGTCATGGGGGGGGGGGGATTTTGAGAAAAGGTTGATTAAAAATTAGGCAGCCCTGGCCAGGTGGCTCAACTGGTTAGAGCATCATTCTGATGCGCCAAGGTTGTGGGTTCGATCCTAGGTCAGGGCACATACAAGAATCAACCAATGAACTATAAACAAGCGGAACAACTAATTGATCTCTCTCTCTCTCTCACTCTCTCTCTCTCTTTCTCTCTCTCTCAATATCAATGAATAAAATTTAAAGAATTAGGCAGAGCCCTGGGTTTGGAACTAGGTCCAAGCATTGAATGTTTTCTGAGACTCAGGTTGATGCATGAGGATCAGGAAAAGCTTGAGAATCTACCATGTTGGGGAGCAGTAGCAGAGCTGGGAACGTTTCTTTTCACTTAGAGGTGGGATGGAAAGACCAGCTCAGAAGATTAGTTATGGGTAGAAAAGGGCGGGAGCTGAGGGAGAGCCGAGGAACTCCTTTGGGTTGAAGGGTGGCCGACTGCTGCGGAGGGTAAATACACCAGCCTAAAAGAGATCTCCTCCTCCAGGGTCTGTCCCAGGCCCAGAGACACAGCAGCGACCCAGCGCTGCACATTGGGCGGCCATTTCTCTATTACTACGGGCTCTACTTTCTGATGTAGCTAAAACATACTTTTTTCCTTCCCACACGACCCTCCTCCTAATCGATGCCTTTCTTATAAGGACTCCTGTGATTGCACTGGGCTCACCCGGATAAATCAGGGTACTCTCCCATCTCCAGGTCCTAAAGTTCACCACACCTGCGGAGTCCTTCTTGCCATGTTAAGGTAACATACTCCAGGGTTTGGGGATTAGGATGTGAGGTTGTTAGTCTGCTTACCATAAGACAGATGCATCAAGGCTATTACTATAAAACACTAAAAATATTGCAGAAAATATGTGCGCATGTCTGACAGAATAACTTTCAGATACAGTGAATGCAGTGTAGGTGGAAGGAAGGCTTGGCCTCGATGTTGTAGGCAGAGAATCCCTTGAGGTTAAGAGTGATGTAATGAGGTGCAGAGAGAACATGCAGAGGAAAGGGGGCTCATAGAGGAGAAAACACTACAAGGAAATGGTCGCTAAATTCAAACCTGTGTGAGAGGCAACCAAGGACTGAATTGAAACTTCAGAAGATTAAAGCGCAGTGGGTATCATGAAATGTCCTCTTAGGAGGAAGCAGAGAGTGGCAAAGTGGAAAGCAGTAGAGAGATTAATACTCTAAGGGAAGTACGAAAAAATGGAGATGGTGCAATCAAAGAATTACTAAGCTTCTGAAGGGAGAAGCATTAAGATTAAAAGCCAAATGACAAACAGGAAAAACTGGCCATGTGTGGTAGACCAGTTGTAAATATTCTTAAGAGATAGAAAACTTTTTCAATAGTGTAAGAAAATAGACAAAGTACTCAAAGAGATTATTCTAGGAAAGAAATATAATGCCTAATAATACCTGATAAAATCTCTAACCATCCTGGAAATGCATTTTAACATGAAATATTATTCATCTGCCAAATGATATAAAAATACTAATGTTCAATTCTGGCAAGGCTGTAGTGGCCTGAATATTCTCATAAACAGGTGATATGAGTATAAATCAACCCGACCTTTTTAGAGGCAATTTTGTAATATGTATCAAGAATTGTAAAAATCTTTTATATGTTTTCCTATAAATTCTAAAGTATATCCTTAGGAAGTAATCAGTTATGGAGAAAGATTTAGGTGTAAAGATATTCATTGCAGTTATGAACAATAGTTAAACAAATAAAATCTCTGCATATCCAACAATAGGGGAATGCTTAAATACATTCTTGTACATCTAGATTGGGGGTCAGCAAACTTTTTCTGTAAAGGACCAAATAGGAAATATTTTAGGCTTTTCAGGCCATGTGGTCTCTGTTGCAATAACCCAACCTAGCCATAGTAGTGTGAAAGCAGTCATAGACTATGTAAATGTATGAGTCCATGTTCTAATAAACTTTGTTCTAATAAACTTTATTTAAAAGCCAGGCCAGATCTGATCCATGGGTTTGTCAGCCTCTGATTTATATGACCTGTTTGTTATACAACTGTTAAAAACTATTTTTACCCCCTAAACATTTAGTGAACAAGTTTAAAAAAATAAGTTGGGGACTAAATAGTATATGATATCAAAATATGAATTAGAAGAAATGTTTGGTAGGAAATATACCAAAGTGTTTATGTTGATAATACGTTGATGGATGAATTACCTGTGATCTTTATTTTCTTTTTTATATGTTTTTTGGGGTCTTTTCCAAAGTTTATCCACAATAAATGCAGTTTAGTTTTATAATCTAAAATAATTTATTTTTCTTTAAAACTTGACAGAACACAAAGAATCAATGAAAACAGTTTTATAGGGATGACAAAACTAAAAATACTTTTATGGTGTTTTAAGTTGACTTAATAAGGATACTTTTAAAATTTCAACAATAAAGAAAACATACTCATGCCACTGCAGGCTCTAGTTGTGTTCACAACAAAAGGGTAACTTAATTCCACTTGGAAACAAGGGCTCTGTGAAAAAATAATATAATGACTGCGAGACAAATTAACCCCAGAGGCAGGAGCGTGATTTAATCAGAGATGCATTGCATTTATTTTCAGAATCAAATTTCTTCTATTTCCCTGCTAATGACCTTTTGCCTCTTTATATGTTTAGGGTTATAAATATCATAGTGTGTATTTTTGATGCTTAATAGATAATTTTAGGTGGCATTGGCCACCGTGGATGAATTCCTCATTTAGGCTTACTGACGGCAGCAAGGGAAATGACTTTACTAAGCTCCCATCATGGCCAGGCACTGTGCTGGGGCTTTACACAGGCGATAACATTTAACCATCATCTCCAAGCCAGGAGGGAGATGCTACTATACTGATTTTACGGGTGAGAATGTCGATATTCATAGGCGACTCTGCCAAAACCACATAGGATGTGGGTCCATTTCTATGTGACACTAGAATCCATGTTCTTGGTACTACTTTATACCCCCTCAACTAACAAGCATGTTTTAAAATTTTATACCTAAAGTAATTTAGGATACTAAAGTGGAGACAAATTAAAATTTTTTTTTTCTCAATAACAGATTTTAAAAATATGAATTTTCTTTCAAGTGGCTGACACTGAAATTGGTTGCCATATTGGCAAAGATTGAAAATAGAGAATTTGTGTAGCAGTAAAGAGACCTTGGTGGCTTTTGTTGATCAATACGTAATTGGAACAGAACTACTATAGGAAAGTAAGGTACTGAAAATGAAGGCCATTCTCAACCGTTAACTTTGATTAGAACAACTGGGGAGTCTGTAAAAGACTGATTCTCTGCCTTTTACCCTGGAAGGTTCTGCTCCCACAGGTCTAGGGTGGAGTCAGGAATCTGCATATTCAGCAAGCTCCCAAGTGATTCTGATTTAGGGGGTCAGAAGACCACATGTTAAGAAACACCAAGCTGAACAAATATCAGGAGTTATGCCACTTCCCTGCAGAATTACGGGCAGATCGATGTGGCTCCGGGTTCAGTCTGAAATGCTATGTCTGTCTTACACACGTCTCAGCGAAGAGGCTGAGTTGTGTGCATTACCCCCACCCCACAGATTGTGAGTTCAACCATGAGAGGCCAGAATGCAGGTGTGAGTCCATTCCCAGAAAATATTTTTTGGGGGAATATGGCCAAGGGATTTGTATGAGTCACTGAGCAGATGTTCTGCTTCTGGAAATTGATCAACTTGAGTAAATTTTAATTTGCCTTCTGGTTTTACTGATTTGTATATAAATAACATGAAAACAATGTTTAATCTCAAATGGGGAAGCATGAGATTATTCTGAGAAAAAAATCAAACATGCTAGGAAAATTACTTAATGATCATTTGTCAATAAAGATGAATATCCTTCCCGAATTTATTTCATTTAAAAGACTTTCCAAATTTTTGGAACAGGAAGGATACAACTAGGTCAACTTGGAGAAGATTGAAGTGCTGGCATGGGATCCAGCTGGGGACGCTGCTGTTTGGTTTGTGGGTGCGTGTGGCATTGGAGACAGGGTCTCAGTATGATGAGGATGATTCCATTTTTTTTTCTTTGGCTTGGAATCAGAAATGACTCTGCAAAGGTACTTCTATGTTTATTAAAATGGTTATTCTATTTTGGTCATACTTGATATGTGTGTGTTTTACTCACCTGATTCTCTTTCAGTGTTATCTGCCCCTGTTCCTTACACCCGATGAAGGTTCTAACACATCTAAAAATCTTCTCATTCTGTTGTACTCTCTGAACAAAGTTGGCCGGAAAGAAGCCAATCCTGTCTTGAATTTTCCCCTGAAAGGAAAAAGAAGGCATGTGTCCACAATTCGTTGTCATTATAGCATTCATTGTAATGAGAGTAACCAAATGATTTTTTTTTTTTTTTAAAGGAAGAGACATACGTACTTTCCACCAGTCTTCGTTGGAATCCTCTAGAAGAGTAATCATGTCTCCGGGTCTAAAATGAAGAGAGAATGAGGTGAGTGAGGAAGCAGAAGGGGATACAACAACAGAGAAGTGGTGCACTGGTGCTTCAGTGATTTTGCTGAGTCCCGCATCTCTTTGTACTCCTACATCTAAAGATGTTTGTTCCTGAGCATCTTTGGTCTCTGGTCATCATCATTGTTTGCAATGTAATTCTATTTCCTAGACTGCCAGGAAACTCCCAAAATTTTTGGGTCTCTGATAGCATTATTTCTTGTTTTCTAGTACAGTTATGGATATATTCTTTAAAAAAAAAGATTTTTCTGACATTTTAAGGAATTGTAGAAAGAGGGGAAGTCAATTTGTGTGCTCATTTTGGTCTTCAGATTCAATCTCCTCTGCTGTCATTTTCAATTCTCAGTTAATATCTATCTTCATAGGGGATTCCAAATAGAACAGGCTTGTTGCACCTGAAACATTAAACACAACTGGCATTTTGGTATTTCAACAGTCACAGTTTCATGCTGATGCCACAGAATGCAAGGTGGCTGAAAATTACTCTTTTCCCAGGTGAGGGATTTAATTAAACAGCAAGGATGAAAGTCAGTGCAGGAAAATCTTTCTAGCTCCAGCAGATTTTATTTAACCTAATAACCTGAGAAACCATGCGTTAGTACCAACTACAAAGACTTTGCTGATGGTTTGGTAGAAACTGTAAGAAGAAAATAAAACTGGAGATTGGGGGAGGCACCTTTTCCTAAGGGTGCAAGAGGATGCCGCCTAAATCCAACTTCTATTTTTCTAGTTTAGCTAGAGACCCACCTAGAGGTGGACTGTCCCTGGGTGCATGACCTGAATAAGGCACTCCCTGGCATATCAGCTATAATTTTATGAGAAATACCAGACACACTCCTGACATTGTGATGGAGGTTCTGTCTTTTCCTTAAAAAGAGCTCCACCAGAATCAGAGAATTGCTTGGTAAGTGAGGAGAGTTACATTCATCCACTTACTATTATTTATTATTACTATTTTTTTATTTGCCCATGCGTTTAACAAATATTCTAGAATGTCGACTCTGAAAGAGCCATTTGACTAGGCACTGGCTATACTCTGGTGAATCAAGTCCCCACTGGAGCTAATATTCTAGTGAGATGATACATAACAAACAAGCAAATATATACTAAAACACTTAACAAATATATAAATAAAAAATATGTAATGTGTATATATAATCGTGAGTTGTCTTAAGGGCAATGAAGGAAGTAAGCAGGATGCGGTCATGAACAAGAGTAAGCCCCTGATATCAGTCCCTGCTCTAGTCATCTGGTGCAGGCAGCTAATGCCTCTTTTCCACTGTAGGGAGGACCCTGCTCTAGGTCTGGGGCAGCCCTTGAATCCAAGGCAGCAGCCCTCTCGCATCTGGGTCAGCTGTGGGAGTTGTGCTGCCCCATCCCCCTGCCTGGCATCAACCATCCATCTCAGTGTGCTCCCTGCTGAGCCCGCACTCAGAATCCTTTTCAACGTGGTCTCCCGGCATGCGAGATAAAGCCACTCTGAGTAATATAATGTTTTAAATTTATTTTTAAAATGTGTCTTGACCCAGTTTTGAAACTCTGGGTAGAGTTCCCCTTAAGGAACCCAATTAAGTCAACACCCAACCACTTCCCTTTGGGCTCTCAAACTCCAGCCACTATGCACCACCCCCAGCCCTAGGTACCAAACAGTTAGGGAGAGCCCTTAAGCCTTGGAACATGTGAATTATTCAAATTAGCTAACTCACAGGGAGTCTGGGAAACCTAGCTAACTCCAGCTGCTGGCCATGCCTAAGCTGCCCTCACAGCTCCAGCTTGCTGTCACCTGATTCTCGGTGTGGCCCTTTGGCAGCCCTTCACTCCCAACTGGGAGTTCTCTTCTCAGACTAGTTCTCAAAGTAGCTCTCTTCTCCTTCCCGTGGTGTTGGGGTGCTATGTCCTGCCATCAAAGAACTAAATCCAAACATTCTGCCCACCTGCTCTCCATAGGGAGAGCCCTGCCATTGTTCCCAGGGCCAAGCTGCCTCTTGTATTATCCAAGTCTTGTGAGAACTCATCAGAGCCACCTATTTTACTCTGCCAGTACTTTGAGATATATTTAATATTTCTCACCCTTTCCCACTCATTAGGCAAAAAGGACCCCAAATGAAGCTTAGGGCAACCATAGTCACTCAGCCAAGACAGATGTCCTGGACAAACCAGTCTAAGGGGAACAGAAAAGGGAGCCCGCCAAACTACTTCATTAATTTTAGGTTGACTGCTTAATTTTTCACTAGACCCATTCCTCAATTTCCATACTCTGGGTCCAGAGCCTTTTACGGTCCGAGAACACGAGTAGGCAACAAGGAACTCCAGAACGAGGCGATTTGGTTTTGCCTTAAGCCTGGTATCCGTAAGACTGCCTGCACTTTCCCAAGCTCAGGGACCAGCTCAGAGGGAAAGAATTCAGCAAAGGGGCCATTTGGATGGGAATTGGTGAATGTTCCTGAACTGTCGTGGATCACGCTCTCCAGAACCTAATTGAAAGAGGCGTTTGAGTGCGAGGGAGGCTGCTAAACACATTAGTGACATTCGGGAAGATCTGGGCTTCTTGACACAGTGCAGCATCAGAACATAATATGCTTCAGAGACTTTCCTCAAATAGCCTTAATTGCATTTTGATGTCCTGGTGACTGTGAAGATTATTTTTAAATCAAATTGGTGCATTAGAATTACATTTAGTTTTAATTAAGTTGATGCATTTGCCAAGCAGTAATGTACTTAGAGAATGGAAATGAGACACCAAGAGAGTCTTATTCTGTCTTACTCCCCCTCTCAAGGGCTCTCCTCTTCTTATTTTATGGCAGGTGTATAAAGCCTTACAGAGTGAAGGACATCATCATGTGAGTTACAGGCCAAAAATCCAATGAGGACCAGTGTCCTGAGCCTCAGGGTCGAGGATCAGGGAACCTGCCTTCTGGCTTTGGGTCTGCCACTGGCCAACTGTGTATTTTTAGATACGTACCCATTGTTCCCAAATCTGGAAGGTAATCAGAATCTAGAGGAACACTTAACAGACATATTTCTAAATGGGGTTTGACTCTCTAGGCTTGGGTGGAGCCCAGAATCTCTGTTTTAATAATATTCTCCAGGAGATTCTTATGGATTGTTGACAAGTTTGAACCATCCTGACCAGAGTTCCCTCCTCTGTAAAATACTATTTGCCTGGCTAACCCAGCAGATTTGCTAAAATAACACAAGAGGATGTGAGGGAAAATTGTGAAAGACTTCAAAATAGGCAAAAAAGATTACTTATCTGGGTATTGAGCTCACCCTCTGAGGTCTTCCCCTTCTTGTTCCCTTCAGCGTCTTTGAGCTATTAGTTTTCACTTCCCCGAGTTGTACAAAACCGATGGTAATGCCAATGATTCTTGTCCATAGAAATGCACGTGAATTGTGTCTGGTGGAATGTAGTCAATTATTACCCTGTGAATGCTCACCGGTGTTGCATGTATTTGTAAATTCACATCAGCACCCCTGATCGCCTACATATGTGTGATGCTTGAATTTTCCTTTCAACCAGCTGTGACATATTACTGGCCCTCTCATGAATTAATGAGTCTAGTAAAAATTTTGGCGTGTGTTCATTTTATATTTGTATAAGAGTCACGATTTTATCTTACTTTTAAAAGATTATCCTTGAACCAGAGTGACTTTTCATGAACACATTCTATAGATGACCAATTTCCTGGCCTTAAAACAAGCATAACAATCCTAATAGACTTGTGAGAAGTAATGTGAGTGGCTAACATGGGATAAATTAATACCCTGTCTGAGTCTGCTAATTAAAATATAACCATCAACTTCATGGCAATCAATGGAGAATGAAAAGCTTGGGGTAAGAGAAAGACCAGTGGACTCAAAGTTGGCCTCCCTGGGCTGCAGCCTCAAGTCTTTACTTTCTACCTGTGAGTTCTGGGTCCCAGTTCCCCCACCTTATCCCCTAAATGTAAAACATCATGAATTGTCTCATTTGAATACGAACTGAACAGTGAAGTCCATTCACTAAGCTTTACTGACTTTTAAAACAGCCTCTTCAGAGTGAAGACTGGAGTGAATGGAATTACCTAAATATGCCCCTGCTCCTGCAGTGATCAATCTGTGCCACATCTGTTTGTAATGGAGTTTGCCCACCACTGATGCCTCTTAAAGCCCTTCTCTTGTTCTGCTGTTTCACTGTGTTCTTCCCTCACCCTTTCCTCGCTGTGAGAGGGAACGACTGCTCCCTCTGAGCTGCACAGGCCCCATGGCCCCTTCCCTGAAGCCTGAAGCCTGAAGCCCTGGCATGGCTGGGATGCCACCTCCTTGCAAAGCCCCCCTTGACTTCCCAAGGCTGCTTGGGTGCCCCCTTGGGGTGCCATAGTGGCATACTGGACTGCCTCCCCACCCACAAGACCCCACACTGAAGTGCCCCTTCTTGTCTACTCTTTTGTGTGATACCCCCACCAATGCCCACCTGAGCTTTCTGAGGACAGGGCCTGGGAATTGTTCCCCCAGCACAGAATAGACGCTTGCTCACTATGTGACAAGTGGCGCAGGGATGAAACAAGTCCCGGAAACAGTTATACCAGCGTTAAAATCAGTTTCAACTCAGTTTCAAATGGTGCTTTGAAAACTTCAGAATGAGATGAATTCAGGCCACCCCATCTCCAGAGGTTCTTATGAATATTATTAGCTAATGAGACAAATAGCTGCCTGGTTTCATTCAGGCTCACCCATGGACAAATCAGGCTCGTTGCTTCCAGGAAAGAGTCTGGTGATTCAAGAATCTAAACCCTTGTTTGGGGTTACAAAAGAAGAGAGGTGTTTCTTCAAAGCCCCCCAATTTAGGTGTTCTTACATACACTGAAGGGCAATGAATTTGAGTCTTTCTTAGAATTTAATAATCTTGAAAGAGCAGTTCCTGCTTTCCCTCTCTTGGCTCATAAGCTTATTTCCCCCCTCTTCTTTCTGTCTCATTTTTCTCCCCTTATGAAACATGGCCATTATCATATAAATCTGTTTGGGGAGAACTAATAAAAATGAAAATGACTTAGATGTGGGGAGCCAAAATGGATTCTCTGAAATGGGCATTATATGGTCACTGGAATAGGCATTTCAGCCTTTTATTTACTCTTAATGCCTTATTTCTGAGTTCTTAAGATGTTTCGGGGTTTGTGTTGACTCGGAGTTATTTACATCTGCTGATGACTTATGTGATATATCAACTCGGCAAAGCCATAGAAGCAATCTTACTGGTCTTTTCAAGGTGTGTTGGTCTGAATAATAAGCGATGGCTCTAAGGCTCTGTTTGCAGACTTCTGAACCCAAAAGCAGTGAGGAGAATGCGACTGGTTACTTTGTGCGTATGGGGGGAAGGAGTCACTTTCTTTGGAAAGCTAAGCATGTATTGTCAAGCTTGTGTTAATGATGTGTGTGTATGCATGTGTCTGTGCTCGTGCAGGGCTGACTGCGAGTGTGTGGGAATGGGTGTGCACATGTAAGTACATCACACACACATACTCATAGCCCCTTTATCACTGGACCTGTTAGATGAAGTCTCACTGGATGTGCTCAATGGCCAGGGAAAGTCTGTGACTGTGTTTTTTGTACTATATATCCTTAGGGTTGTGTTAATGAGGTTGTTCCAAAGACTAGGAAATAAAACATACTGTGAAAAGATGCAAATTATGAACAGAAGGTATCTAAAATATATTGTGCACCTTGCATTGTACTGGGAATGAAATCCTAGCTTTTATTTTCAATGATCTCGTTAAATACTCAGTCACCCTAGGAAGGAGAGAACTGAGGCTCGGAGAGCTGAAATAGTGTGCTCAAATTCGTGCAGGTCAAGGGAAGTCTCTGGTGGCTGGCTTGAGGCCGGGGCAGATGGTGACATCATTCACTCTCAGGAGCTGGTTTGGGGGAGGGAGGGTGGAGCTGCCATGTGCCATCCACTCCTAGGGCAGGCAGGTAAGGATGTGCCACTGGAAGTCGGTAGGGGGATCTGGACTGTTGGCAGGTATATAACAAATGCTTGCTGACATGAACGTTCATCTGCTCTGATCTGTGACTGTTGGCTTTGCCAGCTGGGTCTTCTTTGCCTTTAAGCTCACACTCCAAACATTCCCTGGGCTCTCACCTCTTTTGTTCTTTCCTGAGGACAATACCCAGCGTGCTCCCCTGGATCAGAATGCAGGTGGATGAGAATGGTATTTTGTTAAAAGGAATTTGTTTTTCTACTTTATGGTTTAAGGAGAACACGACGATTCACAAAGACTCAGTTCATTCATGGAATTATACCAAATCCCCAAAGCATGGCCTTACCCATTCTAAATCAAGCGGCTGGCTTTTAAAATGGGAACCTAGATTCTCTTGGCAAAAGAAAAAAAATGCAAGTATGATTTATCACTCCATTCTTGTGGCCTACGTAATGCAGACATTTCACTCCTGGGAATGAGCAGTCCTGTGTGCCTGGAAGCAGACTGTAAACGTTTGACTCGTGACCAGACAATCTGGCTTTTAATGGCCTGCAACCGACTAAAATAAGCACAAAAAGTTATGAGCACCACCAGGCAGCTAGACGACATTCCTCAGTAACATTCTATATTTATCAGGAATTGTGTTTATCTGATTGACTTCAGATAATTTTCTAACATAAAACGGTGGGACCCACATAATAGGAAGTTGTTAAATTTAAAATTTTAGATACCCAAATGACAACCTCAAGAAGAGCAAAATATAATGTATTTATTGCAAAGTAAATAGATGTCATCCTTGTCTTCACCAGCAGGTAGTTCATTGTGGACCATCTGCTGAAGGGCAGGCACCACCCCAGGGATGAATCCTAGGCGGGCTCTAGCCTTCAGGGCTTGTTAGATCTCAGCTAGAAAAGGGCTGCACTTGACAAATGCCATCTCCTCCACTTGCAACGATGCCAGACTGTTTGGGTAGTGTTTACAACTCCAGCCAGTGTCTTCAGCACTGCAGTTCTTACTCAGCGATGGAGAAAATTCAGAGCCTGAACGTCTGCAGGAATCTAAGGAGCCGGGATCCAGGCCCTGAACTCTGCTCTGCAAAGGCCAAGAATCGCTGGGAGCAGACCACAGTGATACTGAGACGAAGCTGACCTTGGGTATGAGCCAGGAGGAGGAGCACCCGTCTGCTGTGGAGTCTCACTGACTGCCACGCCCTAAGGGGCTGCGAGCTGCTGAGGCTGACCCAGGGGCCTATGCAACCTGGGAACCCGGGTCTGACTGGCGCCTTTTTGGCAGCCCTCTCCTTTTAAGGGGCTTTGGGGAAAGTGGAAGAGGAGAGGGAGGGTCTCCTGAGGTGGGAGACCATATTTAGGCAGGTGCACAAGCCCGAGGTTGGAGAGAAGTCCGCATAACCGTAGGCTAGAGAGACAGGTCCCTCTGGATGCCATCTGCAGGGAATGACTGGTGACTGTGACTGGCCCTGCATGGCATTCAGACAAGTGGAGTCCACCCCAAATGGAGGCTATTTCACTAATACTCTGACATTTCAGTAATTTCCAGTGTTAATTTATCTCTCCATTCTCTTCAGACTTGGAAAGAACCAATGTCCAAGGGTCCATTGGGCTAGAAAGGCAGCCCTTTCTATCCTGCTCTAGGATTGGGAAACACCAAAGCTAAGCTTTCTCCCGGATTACTTATGTTTTAGGGTCATGAATGACGGAGGGAGAGCAAAGCCTTTCCTCGGAGACAGGCCAGTGAACACACCATATTATAAAAACTGTAATAACTACCAGTTACCAAGTGTCTACAATGACCAAGCTCCATGCTAAGTGCTTCGTGCATTGTGAATGTCATCCTCACAAATACAGCAGGGGAAGAGGTCATTCATATTCTTTTATACATAAAGAAGATGTTCATAAATTGCTTAAGGTCACACAGTAAGTAGGATGTGAACACAGGACTGACTCCAGCTTAACTACCCCTGAAGCACAAGGAACCAAGACTGTGGTCAGAAGAAAGGTTCCGATTTCATGAGGGTCCCCAAAGCTCACCTTCCCGTGCCTGAATGTCAGTTACCATAGTGGGATGGGTCCTGAAACCATCAGGGTGTGAGCCAGGGGGAGGTGCCAGCCAGTCTCCAGCAGGAGAAACAAATGGCTTCAGTTAGATTCTTCAATCAACGCTAATTTGGGGATGAAATACAGTTTTTTGACTCTCTAATAGAGCCACAAGATGCTAAGTGCATCCGATGCTCAGCGTTCATGAAAACTCCCGTCAGCGGTTCCTTGGGCAGGGTGGGAAACCCACGCTTCTTCTGGGGTGGCCCCGCATCAGCCAGCAGCGGGACCACCGGCTGACCAGCCAGCAATACAGGTTCTCAGGCCCGCCCCAGACCTGCTGAATCAGGAGCCACAGGGCTGGCCCAGCGATCTGTGTGCGCACCAGCCCTGCAGGTCCTTGGCTGCACACTCGGGTTGGAGAGCTGCTCTGAATCTCCCTGAGCTAACACAAATTATTATTTTTCTTTCTTTCATTCCTGCTCTTTTTTTTTTTTCTTTAAAAACTGTTTTTACCTCATTTCCAAGTCTTCAGTCTCCTGTGGTACGAATTTGTACAAGGCAACATAGGTGTTCATCTGTAATGCGTCTTTGGAAAGAGGTCCCTGAAAGAGAAAATGAAGAAAAATTAGGCAAGGAAGGGGGAAGAAATGGAGAGAAACAAGAAGAAAAAAGATATGGTGAAGTGAATGCAATGTGATGTGGTGTAGGGCTCTTAAGTGTTAAAATATCTAACCATTGCTAAGAACTGTGTTTCAGCCATTGGTTTATTTTTAATTTCTCAGCTGAGATTGGTTTCGTTGCAAAGCATTTGAAAATAATTATGTGGAGGTCTTTGTCAGAAATTGTCTTCAAATAATATTTTTTGTATAGTTCATGGGAGGTAATACAGGCTTGGCCCCAAATGAGAATATTGTCTCCATAGAAAGAGGGGCATGTGAATAGGACTAAAAAACTTTCACTTCCTAAAATTGAGGTTTTTTAAAAAAATTATTTTTCAAGTGCAGTAGACATTCCATATTATATTAGTTTCAGGTGTACAGCATAGTAGTTAGACATTTATATAATTTGCGAAGCGATCCATGAAATTGACTTTTTCTCAGTTAGCCTAAAATTTGGTGTCTAAAATATCAGAGAGAACCAGGTATATTTATATGGCAATTAGTTCATTCACACTGTGAGAAAATCACAGATTTCGACATCAGACAGATTTTGTTTGTATCCCGGAATCACCATCTGCTGGCTGTGAAACCTTGCAATAATGAGAATAAAAGCTACTGTTTTGATAGCTTACTGTGTGCCAGGCAGCATGTCACATGCATGAGATACCAGGACCTCACAGAGGCACTGAGAGGTAGATTTTATCATTACTCCTCAATTTGTAGACCATGAAGAGTCTTATAGGTGTTATATAAACACTAGCTACTATTATTAACCAATTAATTGTAAATGCTATATAAATGTTTACACTTTATAATACATATAATAAGTTAAAAATTATATAATAGATAACAGAATTGCATAATATACACATATATGCATATGGTAATCGTATACTATATTGAAATATATAACAATGTAATAAACATATGCTATATATAAAACAAATAAAAGTCACACACAACTGTACCCTTTTTCTTCCATTCACGCTGCTATCCAAAGCTCAAGTACCTTTTATTTTATTTTCCTGATTCTCTCCATTTATTCTAGTCTCTTCTATGGATTCTAGTCTAATCCTATACAAATGAACATGAAAATATAATAACTACATGCTTACGTGCTATGAAACAGTCACTAGGTTAAGTGGTTACATGACATATACACTGTGGAGCGTGCATGTACCTGTATGTAACAAACCTGTGGGAACAGACCCTGCCCCCTGACGCCCACAAATACCTGGTGGTCCACGCTCTCTGCCTGGCCTCTGAAGTCATCCGTGCCGTTCTCCGGGTACGTGAATACTGAGGGAGACGAGAGAAAGCAGGGGCTTTGTGGACCCAGTCACCCTGTTTTGGAAACGTGCCGGAGCGCTGTGGCTTTATTAGTCCCTGTGCCACAGAGCCTACGGCCCTTCTCCCTGCCTCCCCCTCATTCTCAGTGACCCGGCTTCCCCGCCCCCCTGCCACCTGCTCGGCACACTCACCACTCCCCGCCCCCAGCCCGCACAGGTCCTCTCCACTGCCTGCAGATGTGTTTGCAGCGGGGTCTCGGTTGGCAGAGCTCTGCTCGTGAACAGAAGCTGCGCCCTTTGCCCCCGTTACACGCACCAGAGCATTTGTTATGGGGCGGAGGGGGCTGCAGGGCCCAATTTCATTGTACCTGAGTTAGCTTTGCTACACCCCAGATTCTCTGATCTGTTTTCAATATCCTGATTCTAGTTTCTTAATGACATCTATATCCTATTTTGCAGATTAAAGCTTTAGTTTTAAATTTCAGAATAGTTCCTTGATCTCTTACTGTCAATGCATTGAGGCAATTATTGGGATTAAAAAATAAAATCGTGGTTTCTCGTTTAGTTTGCTCTTGGGATGTATGATTCTCTTCCTTCTGTGTTGAAGCAGCCATGTTGTGGCCTTTGCTAAAGGACATGGCCTCTCAAAGTGGACAGGAGTTATGCAGCTGTGGGAGGTCCCTGGTGGGTGCGAAGGCCCTGCCTTGGCTGGTTCCACGAGCGAAGTCTACCCTGGTGACAAACTTCACAGCCTTATTCTCACTGCGTGTCTTCCCCCTAAACACAAATGTTTCCAAGCTTGTACAGTACAGTCATGGTGTCTCAACTAACCTACCATTTAGGTGACTCGCCATTGAAACCTGACACATTGCAGCTTTATTTTTCCCTTTGCTCTTCCTTCAGATTACTGAGGAAATGTCCATAGAGGAAGAGACCTCCCCCACCCAGGAAGCTCTCCCACCTGTTTCAGTCAGTGCACCGACAATCTCCACTGTCCTCAAAATGGACCGAATAACTGAGATGTATAAAACATGCTTCAGAACAAGAGACCTGTAAACGTGCCGATTCTTGGTGAACATCTAGTTCCAGAGCCTGTGGACACAATCCCGTTACCCCTAGGAGGCCAGTACACACTTGCTGGAGGAGCTCTGGTTTGTAGGTAAGTGGGAAGGAGAGGCCCGGTCCTACGGACCTTGGCTGCCTCAGTATCTGGCCACTCAGCTTAACAGTTGAAAATGAGTAGAGGTTAGCAGTACTTTTTTTTGGTATAATATGATTGCCTGAAATCCTGGTGTAAATACTTGATTCCATAAGTAGAAAACTGGATAATTCTAATAGAATATTAAACTATTGAATGAAAACACACAAAGAGAATTTTCCTAGAAAATCCTTGATTGGAGCTAAAAAGGGGAACTACATAAGGTGAACATGCAATGATCAGTTTGGACGGGGCTTACAGTTTTGTAATTCCACATTATTTTAGCTTTTAGTTGAATATCCATTAAGTATCTGGTTTGAAATGTGTGTCATTTTTGTGAACTACATTAAAGAATCATTTGAAGTGACCCCAAATGTGCTTTTTTAGCTATATGGCTGCAAGCACCCAATAGTGTCAAAATGATTTTCAAAACTCATTCCTTTCAGAATCAAGTCTAAGACTTTGAGTTGAAGGGAAAGGACTGAAGAAAGGTAACCATTTTACCAAAAATATATCATGTTTGGTGCTTTAGATTTATTTTATTAAANTTCCAAGCTTGTACAGTACAGTCATGGTGTCTCAACTAACCTACCATTTAGGTGACTCGCCATTGAAACCTGACACATTGCAGCTTTATTTTTCCCTTTGCTCTTCCTTCAGATTACTGAGGAAATGTCCATAGAGGAAGAGACCTCCCCCACCCAGGAAGCTCTCCCACCTGTTTCAGTCAGTGCACCGACAATCTCCACTGTCCTCAAAATGGACCGAATAACTGAGATGTATAAAACATGCTTCAGAACAAGAGACCTGTAAACGTGCCGATTCTTGGTGAACATCTAGTTCCAGAGCCTGTGGACACAATCCCGTTACCCCTAGGAGGCCAGTACACACTTGCTGGAGGAGCTCTGGTTTGTAGGTAAGTGGGAAGGAGAGGCCCGGTCCTACGGACCTTGGCTGCCTCAGTATCTGGCCACTCAGCTTAACAGTTGAAAATGAGTAGAGGTTAGCAGTACTTTTTTTTGGTATAATATGATTGCCTGAAATCCTGGTGTAAATACTTGATTCCATAAGTAGAAAACTGGATAATTCTAATAGAATATTAAACTATTGAATGAAAACACACAAAGAGAATTTTCCTAGAAAATCCTTGATTGGAGCTAAAAAGGGGAACTACATAAGGTGAACATGCAATGATCAGTTTGGACGGGGCTTACAGTTTTGTAATTCCACATTATTTTAGCTTTTAGTTGAATATCCATTAAGTATCTGGTTTGAAATGTGTGTCATTTTTGTGAACTACATTAAAGAATCATTTGAAGTGACCCCAAATGTGCTTTTTTAGCTATATGGCTGCAAGCACCCAATAGTGTCAAAATGATTTTCAAAACTCATTCCTTTCAGAATCAAGTCTAAGACTTTGAGTTGAAGGGAAAGGACTGAAGAAAGGTAACCATTTTACCAAAAATATATCATGTTTGGTGCTTTAGATTTATTTTATTAAAAATAGTGTGATAGTTAATTTAATCCAGGACAAGTATTCAAAGAATGTCTCTTATTCAGGCATATTTTCTTTTTTTTAAAAAATTAAATTTATCGGAGTAACATTGGTTAATAACATTATATGTTTTAGGTGTACAATTCTATAATATGTCATCTGTCTATTACATTGTGTGCTCACCACCCAAGATCTAGTCTCCTTCCACCACCACATATTTGACCCCCTTTCACTCCGCCCCCTTCCCCTCTAGTAACCACCATTCTGTTGTCTGTGTCTATGAGTTTGTTTGTTGGCTCGTTGCTTTCTGTTTTATATCCCGCCTAGGAGCGAAATCATCTGGTTCTTACCCTTTCCCATATGACTTATTTCACTTAGCAATATTTTCTAATGTTATAGATGCAAAATGAATCTTTAGTTTTTGCTACATCCCCAAAGGACTTTCTTCTGTCCCTTTTCCACATTCTGTCCTTTTTGCTCTTCGGTCCTGTGAAGCCCATGTCCACCACCACTGTTTTCTAACGCGATGACTATTTTTATCTTTAACCCGGTAATGCAGCCAGTTACATTATTGGCTTATCTCACATGGACCCAAATTTGCATTCCTGGAATAAGCCCAGCTTGGTAATTAGGCATTATCTTTTAAAAACACATTATTGGATTCAGCTTACTAAGATTTTGTTTCGGATTTCTGTGTCCATATTTTAGAAGGAGACCAGCCTATGATTTTCCTTTCCCACACTGTCTTTGTTTGGTTTTGAGGTCAGTGTTATATTAGCCTCATAAACTAAGCAAGACAATGCTGCTGTCCTACCTCTGTGCCACGGGTTGAGCTTATGTAACATGGAAACTTTCTATTCCTTATATGTTTGGTAGCATTTACTTACAAAGTTGACTGGGCCTTGCAGTTTCACTGTGCAAATATTTAAAATACAAATTCCATGTCTATCATGATTAGAAACAAATTCAGGTTTTCTATTTCTATTACTTCTTGAGTCAGACTTTGCTCAATGATATTTCTCTTGGTATCTGCCCATTTTAAAAAAAAGATTTTAAATTTATTTGCATGAAGTTGGTCATAAATTCTTTTATTTTCCTTTCCATTTCTGTTATATTCATTCTTTTCGTTATCACTTTTTATTTTATCTATTTTATTCTTAAAAAATTGTTAAATGTTATAAATTCAATTTTTTGAAGATCCACTCTTAGGTTTTATGATCTATCTTTGTAATCTGTTCATTTCTCTTCTAATTTTTATTTGCTTTCTCACTGCTTTCTTTGGCTTTATTTTATTTCTTCTTTCTGACTTCTTAAATATGATGCTTAGATGATTACTTTTCAGCATTTCTTATTTTTTAATAGAATAGTTTTAAAGGTAAATAATCACAACTTTAGCTGCATTCCACAAATTTTGATATGTAGTGTTTTCCCTCTTACTTAGTCATATACTTCAGTTTTCAATATATTTCAATTTTCATTATGAATTCTTTTTTAATGCATGAGCTTTTTAAAAGTGTGTTTTAGTTTCTCAAATTATAGGCTTTCCTACTTATCTTTCGACTATTGATTTTTCGGGAGTCAGACATATGTGTTCTATATAATATTAATTTATGAAGCTTTCTTGTGGCCTAGCAGGTGATCAATTTTTATAATTGTCCCAAGCGTTCTTAAAAAGAATGTGATTGTCCATATGTTAGGTGGAGTGTCCTTTTTAAGTCAGTTACAATGGTCAAATGTGTCCTTATTTCCTCGATGTCTATACTAAATCTTTATGTCTATTCACCTTGCCAGTGACTGAAAGCCTCGCTATGAAGGGAAATGCCAATTTTCCTAATAGTTCTATCAATTCTTTGAGTTTCTGTAATTTAAAGGCCATGTATTAGGCGAATGGAAGTTTAGAATTTATATTTTCTAGTGACGTGCATATGACCATGCAATGATGCTGTTCTCTAGTGATGCTTTTTTTGGTCTTAAAGTCCATTTCCCCCACAGATTAATATAGCTGTATAATCTTTCTTTTGCTTAATATTTCCCTGTAGTAACTTTAAAAATTAAAAAAATTTTTTTCAATTACAATTGGCATACAATATTATATTAGTTTCAGGTATGCAGCAGTGATCAGACAATTATATAACTTTTGAAATGCTAACCCTGATAAGTCTAGAACCCATCTGACAGGACACATAATTATTACAACATTATTGACTATATTCCCTCTGCTGTACTTTATATCCCTGTGACTGTTTTTATAACTACCAAGTTGTTAATCCCTTCACCTTGGCAACCATCAATTTGTTCTCTGTATCTGAGTTTGTTTCTGTTTTTGTTTGTCTGTTTGTTTTAAGATTCCACATATAAGTGAAATCAGATGGCATTTGTCTTTGTCTGACTTATTTCACTTAGTATAATATTCTCAAGGTCCATCGATGTTGTTGCAAATGGCCTAGATACTAACGGCAGGTTGCAGAAACACACCGTAATACTTGCATCTGTAATTTGGGAATTGTCCACTGGAGGGGGACCAGAACCAGGGGCATTTGCCAAAAGAGCCATTAGAACATTTGCTTCCCCTTTTTTTTGGTGACAACTCAAAATTTGAGATATAGGACCAGTGTATACTGAAGGCAAGGGTACATTTTACAAATAGGAGCTTGCCATTTTTCTTTCTGGGCAAACTTTCTTTGCTTTAGTGCAACGTTAGGCACTACTGGGCTTTGTAATATCCTCGAGTGAATGCCATTAACCCAGTCCTTTGAAAGGAATATTTTTAAGAATCTGTCTTGCTTCTGTTCTTTTCCCTCTGCGTCTCTTCCAGGAAAGTCATGATCACATATAGTCAGACTGAAATGCAATTATTAAAGGCGGCCAGTGACATCATTATTGGGCATTTCGCACTGAAAACAGGCAGCCTAGATTTTTCTTCCCGCTTTGCTCATTACCTGGCTTCCAGGGGAGTCCCTGGCAGTTCAACCAAAGGCGCAGACCAACAACTCTCCCCACCTACATTTCTGATGTAGGTACCATCCTTGCCAGGATGGCGAGAGGGCCGGTGGGACCCGGGACCCCATAGGCAGGGTGTTTTCTCTGTGTTGTTTTTCAAACTGCATGGACAGGGGATTAAAATGAATCAAAGAAAATGTTCTGAAGCAAACTGCTGCATAATTAACCTCTCTCGCCTCCAGGGGCGGGTTATAAAGAAAGCTACTGCTGATCAAAGGAATGGCTAATAGTTCTCCGAAGCTTTTTAGGGGGTTATTGCTTGCTACGTGTGTTTTTTTTAACAGATTTCTTCGAATAAGTTGGTTAAAATGCCCTTAACATAAAAGAGATGGTGAATAATCAGCTTTGAGTCTTTGAGTGTATTACTCAGGGCCTTAGTTTCCTTATCTCACAGTATGTGGGTGTGTGTGTGTGTGTATGTGTGTGCATATGTGTACTAGGGGGAGGGGGTTGGCTCCACGCCTTCCAGTCCTGCTTCTCGAAATTTAACGAGATTGAGGTCACAGATTCATGTATAAATTCTGATTCTGCCATTGTTCTAGAATAGCCCGAGATTCTGCACCTCTAACAGGCTCTCCCAGGCTGGACCATGGGCCACACTTGGAGTTGTGAAGCTCTAAGCTGCACCTGACACTTTATGACCTTATGATGACTTAGTTAATAGCAATTGTGCTTCATATTGATGATTCCTATATGGATGGTTCCTTCATGTTATCGAATCCTGTGAAGACTGCTTTTTGAGTAAAGAAATCCCCAGGGCATACAAAGGCCTTAACAAGTAAAGGAAAGGATGAACAGCATCAGTAGGGCTGGACCCGGATGGCTGAGGCAGAGAGGCAAGTGGAGGGCAAGTTCTGGGCAAGATTTTGAAGAGCAGCAGATAAGATCTGCTAACAGGCTAGATAGGAGGTGTGAGAAGAAGAGGGAGCCAAGGCTGCTGCCAAAGGTTTGGCCTGATGCGCTAGTAGAATAGAGTCCCTATTTACCGAGCAGGGACAACCCGGGAGGGACAGGTGTGGGTGGGTGAAGGAATCGAGGGTCCGGTGTTAACTTAAAGATGCCTACTCCACACTCAGATGGCTGCAGGTGTCTGGAGGCGGCCAGGAAGCCTAGTGCTGGAAATGAGGTTCCAGAGTCATCAGTGGGTACACTGCATTTTCATTCATCATCTCATTTAAAGATCACAACAGCCTATGGATTCGGGGATATTATTATCCTTATGTTACAGTGAGTTGATAGCCACATGGTCACCAGGTGAAGTCCAGCAGTCTGCCTCCAGAGCAAGGAGGGGCCAAGGACCAAGTCTGTCCAGCGTGGTGAGTCAGGAGGAGGCTATCACAGTGGTGATAAGCGTCAGGGTAGGGGTGCAAGCAGAAGTTAGGTTCTGGGATGGAGCAGCTGACCAGACCTGAAGCATTAAGGTGCCGGCACATGTGGTTTATATACCAGTCTCTTGAGAATTTGTTCCCCAGATGCTGAAAAACCCTGGGGTTACGGACCAAGCTCAGTTGCTGAACCTGCACTGCGGACAGATTTGGGCTGGGCTGGTCCTGCTGTGTGCCGTGTTACTGCTGGTTGTGAGCGTCCCCTGGCCATCGGCACTCTTTAATTGGTCTCTCCAGTGGCACTGCTGAGTGCTCAGTGCATATTTGCATTGACCTGAAGTGCAGTTTTCCCCATGTGACACAAAAGAATCCTTACCCTGGCAGAGTGCTTTAGCAGATGTGTGCAGGCTTGGCAAGGGGGCCGTGCTGAATGCTGATGTTTACTTAGCAGGGAGAGTCACAGGGAAGCTCAGCACGTGCTGCCTCTGGGACTCACAGAGGCCCAGCCCTAATAGAGAAGGGACACGGGAATTCCTAGAACCGAGGAAGCGAAAGTGATACTCTGCAAGATAGCTGCTGACAAAGCAGCTAGGGGATACTGTTCCCAGTCTGGAAAAGGCAGGGCAAACAGTCAAGTGGGAAACCTACCCAAGGGGCACATATCCATGCTTCCCATGCAGGCGCGAGAGTCGGGAGGGTAACCTTGGGGATGCCCCCAGCCCAAGTAAATGACACCAGTCAGGATATGCAGCCTGAAGATTATGAGCAACCTGAGGACAGCGTTTGTGACCTAGGTACCTTTGCTGGTGATAGGAAATGCTTCATAATTTTTTTTTCTTTAATAAACGAGTTGTTCACATTAGAGTGGCTTGGCAAGACGCATTCATAAGAGGCTGGTTATGTTTCCTTCAGGTCTGCTTTAACAGGCAGTTAGTTCTTTCTTAATGTTAGCAAGCAATAATATGCAGTCAGCATTTAATAACTATTCTAGAAATTACTGTAGTAGGGCGTAAACTATTAGAAAATTAAAGAATATTAATAAAAATTGTTTGTCTAGATTGCACATATCTGAGACTTAAGTTTTCTCTGCTGGGAAGAAAACAAGTGTGAGGCCCCTACTCCCTCCCCTGGCACCCCCACCCCCACCTGGTTCAAGGTACTTCAGGTGTAGCACGGAGTGGCTTCTCCGTGGCTTTGCTGATCTTAGGTAGGTCAGTGGGGGAAATGACGCATTAACAAAAAGATGGAAGTGACTCCTAAACCCCATTAGAGTTAAGCCCAAAAGGCATGAGGACTCAGGAGACAGAACTCAGGGAATATTATAGTCAGATCACGGAAATCCACCGGTCATGACGCCCAGTTTCTGTCCAAAATGTTAAGCACTTGCCCAGAATGAATTCCGGAGCCAGCAGAGAGAGCGAGGGGACTGGACATCTGCTCCCTCCCGCCAACTCGGACTAACGGGTCACACTGTGCCTCTGAGGGATGCGGTGGCCGGGTTTCCCATTCCCCCACTCACCGCTGTTGCTGCGTGTCCGTGGGTCATACCCGCCTCCTGGCCCGTCAGTTTCCTCAGGAACCTCCACAAGGTCTGAGGTCTTGCAGGAAAGAGGGAACAGCATGGAGTGAGCAATGGCCAACAGAACAGAGATTTCCACGAAAGTAGGACAACTGGGGTAGAATTTGCATGACGCTGTGCTAAGTGCCCAGTTGCTGCTGTCTTGTCTGTCTGGCTAACTTCAGAGAGGCCTTGTTTTCCCTCACGGCATCGTTCCTTTTCTCAGGTGTTTGTGGCAGCTCAGGGCTCAGCATGGGACAGATACTCAGTGACTGTTGGATGAGATGCCTAATAGGTCACCGTTAGGCTTCCTCCCAGGAAGAGATGACAGAGAGAAATCAGAATTCCTGACCATATTCTGTCAATTAAAAATTTCCGTAGAACTCTAGCTCTTCCTATAGGTGAGTTTTACATATAAATTCTAGAGACTAAGATGCACGATGTATGACTTAGGTATGCATTAAATGCTGTTTCCATCACTGCAAAAATCAATTGTTTTCATATTTATTTTGCTTTCTTTTTTTAAAATAAGAGATTCCCAGTAGGGGGCATGCAGGAGGCAGCTGATCAATGACTCTCATCATTGATATTTCTCTCTCTCTCTCTCTCTCCCTCCCTCTCCCTTCCTCTCTCTCTAAAAAAATCAATAAAAATACATTAAAAAAAAAGAGAAGTCATTCTTCCATTTAGGTTACAGAATAACAATAACAGCCATAATAATAGCGCTCTAAATAGTTGCTATATAACTTCTTTATATATACTACCCCATTTATTCCTCACAATAACCCTATGATAGATCTATTTTCAGATAGGTATCTGAAGCCCAGAGTGAATGAATAAGTCTACTTGAGGTCCTATAGCTGATAAGTGGTGGATCTGGGGTTCAAACCCCAGAGGTTATCCCATAAGCACTGTGCTTCATCCAGTGGTGTGATGCAGCAACTCCCATGGGCTGGGAAGAGCCTTTTGAGTCACCATGGGCAGCTTAAAATTGGTCACAGCAGGAGAATTTACACCAAGGAAATTGGCAAATTCTACACATTAGGGTCCTGTCCCTGCCAGCGGTTAAACATTTACTGGCACAATACTGATTTCAGATTGCCTCTTTCATAGGGCCAGAAGCCTCCACTTCTATCTGCCTGGCTCTGTAAAAGAAGCATTTAAGGGGCCTCGAAGGAAGAGTCACATTTAAAAAATATTTTATTTATACCTTATCAGAGAAGAACAAGTTTCCCTTCCTACCTCTCCTAGTCAGCTCTAGAGCACTTTAGCATCACTCTCCAGAGATTAATTTTTATTACAAAAAATTTAACTTTAGGATTTTTTTCAGCCATTCTTACTTTCATGATACATCAGAAATAAATGTTGCAGGGCCTCTAAGTCATCTGCATCCTGCTCCTTGGAAGCTCACTATTTCTGAACAAAAGTTGTTATTATTATGTTAATTTAATCTTATGAAACTGAAAATTATTCATAAACTAGCCAATCAACTCCCAGAGACTTTTTTTGTATTTGGTTTTGGTGGCAGGCCTTCCCCAAGCCTTCAAGCCTTTTATATTCTAGAGCATTTGAAAGACCATTAAAGGAGCCATAACGATTTAGAAACAACCAGGCAGCAAGACTTCCTGACAATGTAAAGCAAATGCCTCTGTAGCCCTGGGAGAAAATCAACCTATGGGACCGAGTTTGCTACGTTGGAATATGTTAGCTTTAGGACATAACAGCACAAGAATGGCAAAACGCTGGTTTGCATTATGATTTGCCCCTGCAGAAAGGAAGCAAAATCATTTTAAAGTACCAATCAATTGTTTCTGTTTTCTTCCATCCAGTCAAGTTGGACTCCGGGGAAAGAGTGAAGTGACAGATACTTAAGCACAATTGGATTTGTCTCTGTCTCCCTGCAGGTCTCAGAGCAATGCTGTCGCAGAGCAAAATTCCAAGCAGTCTTGACTGATGGAACCAGTGCCAGGAAGCGTAAGTGGATTGTGATAAATGGACATCTTATTGACATTCAGAAAACTATGCTTTTTTGCCCTTACAACCAGTCCGTAGGGTCCGTCCAGACATTGCTAGAAACAAAGCTATTTTATACATGAAAGCAAACTGGACAAATTGCCTCTCTGATAGTCTTGCTGCTTCATAGCATGAGCCAAACATGTGGAGGCTGAAAAGGCCATTGCCTGCTGGGAGTGTTTCTGAGGCTGTCTCCGCCTCATCAGCTCCACAGAGCTCCCACAGGAGCAGCGCCAGAAGCTGATGTGGACAGGTCAGCCATCTCTGGGAAGCCTTCTGTCTGCTCTTGCCTCCCTGGCCGGCTTTCTGTCTGCCTTCCACCTATGACGGCCTCAGGCGGGCCCGGGGGATGCAGAAGCTGGGAGTGGGGTGAGGATATTTTGGCTCACGCCAGAGATGCAGAAAGGTCCATCCAGGATGCAGGTCAAGGTGGACAGAGGTCTCCCTGCTCTGGCCAGCACTGTCTGTGCTGTTCTTTCGGATTACTGGGTATATCTACAAAAAGTCTTGACTTGTAAGGAAGGGGTGGCTGCAGGTCGAGAGCCAGCTCTATGTGGCTTTGGGGGAAGTGACTTGTTGGCAGCAATGCTCCTCACTCTCTGGAAGGAGACACAATGTGGTATGTGGCATTAGGGACATGACTAGCACCCTTTAATCTCTAGACCTCAGAACCAGCGAGTGAGCTTGGGTAAGTCCATGTGTGGGCCTTTTAGGCTTCTGGGGTGCCCATGGGGCAGTAGTCAGAGGGCCTACAAACCTACCGACCCACCCACTTGACCTACATACCTACCACAGACTACAACTTGTTATCTTGCCTGGGACTCCAGCAGCCCTCTGTCTAACTCAGCCACAATCCCGCTGGTTTTAAACCACAAATTATGGTGATTTTGCTTCCCAGGGTTCCTGGGCTGGGGCAGTATGTGTGGGGGGGCTGGTGTGGGGCTGGGACCCCTCACTCCTCAGGTGGGTCCTCTGCATCCGAGATATCTCTCCTGATTCTTCACAGTTACATATGGGTGTGGAACCAGCCCTTTCCACGTCTCTAACTCTCCTACCAGTTTCGATGTGGCTTCTTCTTTATATCCTTAGTTATAGGATTTCTGTTCAGCTAGATTTCAGACAGTTCTGCCTGATAGCTGTTCTGTAGTTTGGTTGTAATTTTGATGTGGTTGCGAGACGTTTCGAGTACCGCTCCTACCTACCCTGCCAACTTGACGGGAACCCTCCATCTGTCCTCCACCTCTTTTGTGTCCCCTACATTGCTAGTAATTATAAGCACTTAACCTACGTTGGCTGACTGAGTAGTAAAGGAAAGAGCTAATTGATATCGATTTTATGTTCAGCAAGGAGGAAGAGTCAGAATCACTTTTGGTTCATCTCTCTTAGAAGTTAGTGGGAAGTAGGAAGGACAGGGCTTTCTGCAAGTTCAATGATAGCTTCTGGGGTACCCATGTGGCAGTGGTGAGAGGCCTACAAACCTACCTACCCACCCCTTGACCTACATACCTACCACAGACTACAACCTGTTATCTTGCAGACTGACCCACACCCAGTGAGGGAGCTGCTTCCACGCAGCCCCTGAGGACCCCTCCCAGGGGTCTGCCCGCCCTCCTCCCGCAACCCACCCTAATCACTGCATGTTGGGAGGCCCTGGTGGGGAAGACTGTCGGAAAGCTTATCTGTGTCTTGCTTGGAAGTCCCCAGGCTACCCTGCCCAAGAGCCCCAAGAGGACAATTACAGAGGTTCTGCGAGGCGAATCAGAGCCACTGCCGGAGCTGCTCTTCTTTGTCCTCTGAGCCAGGGAGGTGCCGAAGCGGAGGGCCTCATAGACAGGGTCCACCTTATTGCCACAGGCTGCAATGGAAGAGAGAGCTCATCTGAGAGAAAAGCTTCCTCACCTCACTGACAGGAATGAGCCAACCACCTATCACATATACTGGGTTGCATCAGGCATCACCCATCGCATGCAGCTGAGCAGCAGGGTCTGAGTGGCAGTGTCCGAACGGCAGGGCCTGAGCAGCAGGGTCTGAGCAGTGGGCCCACTGCCTCCTGGGAAAATGGGGCTTCTTCTAGTGCGAGGCGAGGCTCTCCCAGGTATGAGGCCTTTGAAGCCCAAAGTTTGCAGTAGGAAGCAAGTGCTTTTGTAAGAATTGGACATTCCCAGGCTTCGTGAATTGTAACGCAAAACATTTAGATTATACATTTTTAGTTTAAACCTTGCCTCCCTTGCCAAGATGCAAACAGTCCTTGAAGTAGAGATTTTGAAAGAGAGGGAAAAATTGGAAGTACACTGAATGATACTATTAAAGAATAAATTCAAGCTAGAAATATCTATGAATGTAAGGCTTTTTTTAGTCCTCATTAAAGAATAACTGAGCCTGGCTGGGCATGGCTCAGTGACTGAGCATCGACCTAGGATCCAGGTGATCAGGGTTCCATTCCTGGTCAAGGCACATGTCCGGGTTGTGGCTCCATCCCCAGTCGGGGGCGTGCAGGAGGCAGCCGATCAATGACTCTGTCATCATTGATGTTTATCTCTCTCCCTTCCTCTCTCTGAAATCAATAAAGATATATATTAAAAAAAAAAGAAAAAAGAATAACTGATATTCACTGAGTTCCTTCCCAGCATTGGTCTATAATTTATATTTATTTTTTACAACATTTATGAAAAACAGCCATTACTGTTCTTATTTTATAGGGTTTGACAGGTTGGGTAGCTTGTTCAGACACACGTTGATCAGCCGGGAAGCTGGGCTTTGAACCACTTCTGTGGGATGCCACACCCCACGCTCTGTCCATTCCACCGTGCTGCTGATGCACCGGTGGGGTAGTGTATCAGCAGCCTTTGGGACTTGGGTGTTGTTTGAGCTTCAGCAGGGAGAGGTTGAATCTTCCTGCAGAATTTGATCCCCCTTATGTTTCCCTTCCAGCAAGACACACAGACAGTCATAACACCATCAGCCCCCAAATGAATGCACAAACACACCCCGAGGGTTTTGCAGCCCTGGGAGAACAGCAGCCATGAAGCGGATGTTGCTGCTCAAAACCCAGCTTGACCCATCAATGTCCCAACTCACCAATGGGCATAACTTCTTTAATGCATCCAAATTGTTCATGAATGAGCAAGGGGGAGCTGTAGTAACGCCGAAACCCCTTTGGCTGGGGAGAGAGGGGGAAAGAGAAGGGCTTAATGTCACTGATGAGATGCAGATAACCACACAAGAACTCTAAAAATCAAACCGGTCGCTTTTTCTAGGGGCACCTCCTTGTCTCCCTTCAAGATGCTGGCTTGTCCTATAATTTGCCCCTGGAGGGAGGCAATAAGCAAACCACACTCCATCCAGAAAGCGAGCTCCAGCCCCGTCCTGCTTCTTCCCTCGCTGCTGCCCACTGCAGCCTCCCTTGTGTCTGGGCTCCCCCTCAAGTCCCAGGATACAGAAGGACCATTGTGCCTTGTTTGACCACAGCTTACTATTGTGGCTTGTTAAAAATCATAGAAGGCCTGGGAATGGGAAAGCAAACCTCAGAGATAGGCTTAAAGGCCTTTGTTTGTCTGATGAGCTCTACCCAAAGCCATCTGCTTTCTGTTCTAGATTCCATTCTGCTTTTCTGACCTCTCATCCATGGCTTTTGCCTTGGCTTGTAAGAATCACCCTTGGACGGGGAGGGGAACGGGTGAGGGTGGTCCTCGAGAAGAAGACTCTGCCAATCAGAGTAAGCTCATGAACTCGCTAAGAGCTTCAACTTACAAGATTCCAGTATTGAAAGAACACTTCGTGGCCCAGCCTCTACTAGAATCCACAGTCCTCCAATGTTCCTGGCAGTGGTACCCTCCTTTGCATGGACATTGCCCGCGATGGAGGGTGGGTGGGGGAGCTCCCGTTCACGCTGGAGGCAGGTCTTTGGTGACTTATCTCCGATCGTTAAGACTTGGTACCTACTGATCCCAGATTCTTTTTCCTGAGCCTCGGAGGACAACAGAATCTCTCTTCTGTGTGACAGGGCCTCAGGTTTTTTGAAGACAGCTGTCATGCCCTCAGTATCTTCTAGGGTAGAAATTCTTGGTTCCTTCTACAGTTCTTGGGCCATCTTAGTTTTGAAATGTCCTCCGGGTTGCTTTTTAACCACGTGTGGCACCAGTACTGAAGCCCACAGGCCTGAGGCAGCATGATCAGTCCAGAATAGGCCGGGGTTACCCGCCTCCCTTGGATGGGCCACCATGGTTCTGTTAAAGTGCTGTAGAGTTTTAGTACTCTCCTCACTTTTGGGAGGGTTGTTAATCTCTACCCCATTCATAACACCCACTAAGTTGTCAGCCCATTAAGTTACTAGAGTGGGATACGGTTCCCTGGGTGCTTAACTTTCACTTTTAAAACCTGGAGAGTCCTAGGATGTGGGACTTCCAGTGCTGAAGTTGGGGACAAATTGGTCACCATATGGAGCATTCATCCCTTAGGCTGACAAAGCTCTTCCTCTACCCTGTCACTTTCCCAACAGGGAAGCCAAGCTGGCAGGCCAGGGGTTCTGGGGCTGCCTTCCTGGTGTCCTGTTCTCACGGTGCTGCGGGGAAGGACTTTGAACGGAGTTATCTCTTAGGCCGGGCCCTTACCAGCTTGCCCATGCACCGCTGGGGTGCCAGGCCGTCCATGCACTTGTGGTGGATGCTCATCTTACAGGCTTTGCAGCGCAGTCCGTGCTTAGCATTTGTTCCTGTCGGACATACGGTGAGTTTTGGTTAGGACACAACCTACCCTTTGCTGGTGACTAGTATGAAATCGCTGGAAATCATAACCCAGGGAATTCTTTTCTGTGACTTCTGCATGAACCTTTCAAAAGGGACAAAATATTATGGTGGATTCTTTTACCTCCACCTCCCCCCCCACTTTTTACCCAAGGTGTCAGCTTTGGTTTTTCCCACTCCTTTCCTATTCATTACTCCAGAGAAATCTTAGCTGCCTCCACTTTCATTGTTCCCTCAATCCAAGCCAGCAGATCCCACTTTCTTTGCTCTTTATATAGGCCGCCTGTTCCTGCTCTTCTGTGTGGGCTGCTGAGTAGTGCGAGTCCTGAAATCTTGCACATTTTAACTCAAATTCCTATCGCCGTCTCTGGGTTGTTGGGTAAATGCTCAGAAAAATGACCAGTAAAGGGAGAACAGATATCCCACGGTGTATCACAGCTGACGACAGATGCAAAATGAATTTATCTCAAGATATGTGCCACCCACCGTCTTCTCCATCACTGCCTTCTCATCCAAACCACCATCATCCCTTGTCTGGACCAATCCTCAATTGAACTGGCTTTATCAGTTTTTAGCCTTCCCCCAATCTGTGTAGAGTAACCAGAGTAATCTTTTAAAAATGTACTCGAATCACCTCCTTCTCTTAACAGTCTTTCAGTAGGTTCTCCCTGCCTTCCTGATGTTATGTAAAATGCTCCCCGAGGTGGCAAGGTTTTATATGATTTGATGGGAGCCCACTTCTAACTTTATCTCAGGCCAACACTTGTTTACTATGCTCCGACCACATGATCTTCTTCAGGTTCCTTGAAAGCACAAGCTCTTTAATGCCTCAGGGCCTTTGTACATGCTACCTTACATGCCCAGAATGCTGGTTCTATCACCGTTCGCTTGTCTTGTGACTCCTCATCGTTTGAATCACTTGTAATTTCTCCTATGAAGTTTTCTTGGAAACATTCCCCTTCCACTGTCTAAATCATTTTCCCCCTGTCATTCTTTCTCCCAGGGCTCTGTCACAGTATTTTTAATCGCAATCATTTATTTGAGTGTTTTTGTCCGCCTTTTCCTCTGGACTAGAAATGCAATGAGGCTAAGTTTATTTGTCACTGTACAACCAGCTCTGAGTAAGATGGCTAATGCATTAAATAAGTTAATAAACTTATCATTTCACCGTCACACATGCATTGAAACAGTGGCGCCTGATTTAGGTAATAAATTGAAGTTGACTTATTGGTGGATTAGAAATGACAGTTAAGAGCTAAAAGAAGACTTAAAGATCATTTATATATATGACATTATTTTACAGATAAGCAGCCTGAGGGTCTAAGCAGAATGATTGTCCCAAATCAGAGAAGGTCCTGCCTAGTTTCACTCTTTCACTGATGGACCCAAATATGTTTTCCATTTATTTGGGTTGTTTAACCTACATGAAGACGTACTTGGGGAAAAGAAGATGATAAAATAACTGAGGACAAAAGCCTGACATTCAGTTGGAAAAAACAATGGGCCAACTTTTGACTGGGCAAGGACCTAGGGGTAATTCCTGGAAAATCCTCTTAGGAAAGATTCATTTAACACAAAGCATGTCTGCTGCTATAACCACAGAAAGTCGAAGTGACATATAAACACACCATAAATTACTGGGCATGTGTGCTTGCTCATAAATACCAGCTGAAAAGTCTTTTTTCATTTTTGAGAAGAACACCTTAGCTGAAAGACTGCAATGCTTTCAAAAGGACGGACTTCCAAAGCAACCACTTAATTTTTCGTTTTTGGATTAGGAAAAGCTATTTGTGCCCTTTGTGAAAATGTAAGTAAAAGCTTCAGAGAAGAAAATTATTTCATTGTCTGCTGGACTCTGAAGTAGCACCATTATATATAAAAGGATGTTTTCCTTCAGACCTGAACACCATAATTTCCGTTTTCCTTGTTCGTTCTAATACAGTCTACTGTTTTGTACGAGTCAGACCATCAGCAATTATTTGGTTTTAGGCGTTCTGATTTCTCCTCTGGACTAACAAGGGTGATTGAAGAGAAAAGCTTGTATGCTGTGGCTCAGAGGATATTTCAAAAGAATAACTCACATCACAGCATGGGGTTAGTTTACTGCGGCAAGATGAGGGAAAGCTATAGCCTGACATGTGCTATTAATAGTTACCTCCAACACAAAGACATCACTGAACGTGACCTCGAGGCCTCAGTAGAGTGAGAAAAACATGAATTTAAATTCAAATCTGTCCTATGCTGGCTCTTTAAACTTAAGAAAACTATTACCATTCCTAGAGCCTCAGCTGTCTCTCCATTAAAGGGGAATAGTACTAACTACTCCCAGGGTTTCCAATAGTTACAGTGTCAAAATATATGCAAAGGGGACTGTATGGGTTGAAATACTTGGAAACATAAAGATGTCACTGGACTTTGACTAAACATGATAGACTGGCCGCATGATTTTCAACACTTATTCATACCAAAACTCCATTAAAATTACAGTCCAGCAATTAAAAAATGGTATAAATCCAAAATAACAAGGTTACTGTGAAGAGCAGCAAAAGTAGAAGAGAGTTGAACATAGGTTTAGAAGATAGCAATTGGAGGAATGGCAATAAATTTAGCACAAAAAAAGAAAGATTGCATTTCCCAAATGGAACTTGAAAACTAGGAGACCATCGACCTTCAAAATCTGCGAAATTCCAAAATTCTGAGGGAAATTCAATTTTAGCCTAGAATTTTATATCCAGCCAAATTTCTGACAATATGAAAGCAGAATAAACACCTACTCACATCTTTGGGGATTCAAAATATTAATTTTCCTCATACCATTTCTTAGAAAACTAATGAAGGATGTGCCCTAGAGAAATGAGGGAATAATTCAAGGAAAACGAAACTGTCAGATCCTGTGCGCAACACAATAACTGACACAGAGGAGTCAATAATATGTCCATCGAACACTCTGCAATAGCCCCAGACAGGTGCTGCAAGATGAAATAAGACAGCAGACTTGGGGAAAAATGGAACTTTAAAGTTTAGTGTTGCTTTCGAGGTTTGGATATTATAATAGATATGACATTTGACAGCTCTATGGGAACACTGGAAAAAAAAAATTGTAGGTGCATGAAAGTCAAGAAAATGAAAAGGAAATTTTAAATGTGAGGAAATACAAAACCTGGGCAAGGAAAGAAGTGTAATCACAGTACGATGCTTGAATCAGAAGTTTGCAATAGTGTATAAACTGACTATCTAGCGAACACAAAATTGTGATAAAACTACTTGGCAAGATGAGAGCCAGGGAGCAAAGGTTGTAATATAACTCTTTGGGGAAAGTGAGAGCAAGGAGGAAGGGAACTGCGAGAAGGTGTTGGAGGGGTGAGAGCTGAATTCTCATCTTCTCTTACAGAAAGCCAATAAATGTTTGACTACTCAATAAATAGTAGTAGAAGCACAGCGTTTAGAAATATTGAAATAAATGCCAGAAAAGACAAAGGTTGAAAGCGGCTGCTCTTTGGAAGTTAGTCTGGGTTGTAGGATAAGAGTTTCCATTGTAGAATTTTCAGTACCACATTTAAACTAGTCTCATGTACTACGGCCACAAAAAGCAAATAAATAAAGTGCTGGAAACTGGGTCAAGTCGACCCCTTGGAATAACGTGGTCCTTGGTATATGAAGATGTGGGACTACAGGCTCCACTGCTCTAGCGCTCAGTGCAGGCCCTTGGAAGCCTCCAGAAGGAAAGTGCAGGAATAGAGAGTCCTTGCCACGGCAGGCCGGACTGCCAAGCCCTCTGAGCTGGGATCACTCACGCGGTCAGTAACGCATTAGGAGCAAGGCTGCAAATGCATTAGCCGGCAGAAGTGTACGCCGCTGTTTCTAGCTTTGACATGCACTTATTTTTCCTTTTGAAAATGACATCGATGTCATAAATGCTTTTTAATAAAAACAGTGTTCTCATCTCCATTGATTCTTTTTAAAAGAAGATTGGAGCCGGGGAGGAGAAGTAGAAATGGAAGACTACGACAGCAGGGCAGCTCTTTGACAACTTATTAAAGCTTCCGGGCCTGAGCTGTGTTACATTTGTATGTTTTTAAGTTGATATGTGTTTGTACTTGCATATATGACATATAAAGACCTTGGACATAAATTTAAGGGGTTCTTTTGTTTTTGGTTTTTCTTTTTCCTTCTGAGGAGTTAGACTAGGAGCCAAAACAGCTTCTCTGTAAAGGGCAAGAGGGTAATATTTTAGGTTTCGCAGGCCACACGGTTTCCATTGCACCTGTTTAGCTGCTGCTGTCGCGTGAAAACAAATACAGGAATCCGAGGAGGACTCTTGCTTTCATGGAAAAGTCTTGTTACCGTACTAATGTAGGTCTTTCTTAAAAGCGAAGCGGCTCCCTGGCTGGTTTGGCTCTCTGGTTAGAGCACCAGCCCTCGGACTGAGCGGTCGCGGGTTCGATTCCTGGGAAGGGGCACGCCCCTTGGTTGTGGGCTCGATCTGATGTATGTTTCTCTCTCCCTCCACCTTCCTCCCTTCCACTCTAGAAAATTCAATGGAAAAAATATCCTCGGGTGAGGATTGAAAATAAAGAAATAGTGAAGGGGCACAAAGCGAACTTTTGGAAAGCGTGGGCTGCTCTTTGCTTGATGCCATTTCGGCTCACAAAAGGTTTCGTAGGAAATTAACCTATTCAGCCTCCGGTTTCCCTGTCTCAGCTGATGGCAACGTGACCCTTCCAGGTACTGGGGCCAGCAGCCCTGGAAGCACCCCTGGTCCCTGTTTCCCAGGCAGCCCCCGTGCAGATAGTCCTGCTGGGGACTTCAGATTGTATCATGAAACTGCTGTAATAACAGCCTCCTGGGTGTCCCCCCTGCCTCAGTCCTTGCCTGGATCCCAGGGAAGCCTGTTCCTCACGTCGCAGGCAGAGTGGTCCTTTGCAAATATTAAAGTCCTATAGTTCCTTTCAGCGTGAAAGCCCAAATC